CTGTTCTGGCTGGTTTTGAGATGTTTTCTAATTTGCTTCTCTTACATAACTCATTGCTCAGTTCCTGCAATTTGTCCTTGGAAATAATGTGGGCTTGCACTTGTTTAAAGAACAAAATACAAAGACATGGAAGAGACATGGGAAGACAAATTAAGAAAATTTCATCTACTTCAGACTCTACCACATTTTCTTCTTCATCTGCACATGCTTACCAGCAAGAAAAAGACTACTAGTATGAACTGAAATCCATAAGGAACTGTGTCCTTTTACTATGTCCTTGTAAATCTCAGGTTGGCACTATTCTGCCTGTGACATCCATGAGAAAGAACAAAGGGCAAATTCTCCATATTCAAATAATTTCCAAACCTATTTACTGCTTAAATACTAAATGGATAGTGTTATGAAGGGAACATTTCAAATTAGAGTTTGTTCTTTTGTTGTATGGTGTCACAAGTGAGACGGGGAAGGCCCATTTTAAAGAAGAATCTAATCATTTAGACATATTATCTTATTTCAGTTGTTCAGACTGCTGGACCCCTTGAAAGGCTCAGTGGTAATGAACAAAAAGGAATCTCCTGCACCATAGCACAGCCTAGCAGTGCTGAGCGAGGAGAACATTTCATCTAGCTGGTAGCAGCAAGACACCCTTACTCTGCAGTGGATCAGCTGGCAGAGGAAAATGTAATGCTCGATTTGTCACCATTTTCCATTAGCTTTTGCCCACCCTGCACTGCTGCTGAGTAGCTGTTTGGAGCTGGAAGAGCTCCTGGTGCTACTCTCTGTTGGAAACGGAATGTGCAGGAACGGAAAACAGAGCAGTGATCACAGTAGCCACACAGCACAGACCCACCAACCAGACCAATTACAGTCATAATGTGCTTCAACCAAAATTTTATATGTATGCTTATATATGTACACATACACACACATATGGTTTTGCATTAGAAAAAACCACTGAAATGAAAAAGCCCTGGGCATGCAGATCAAACAGCTAGTCAGTGTCCTAAAATTGTGCTGGAAGGTTATTGCAGTTTCTTTTCCAGACATCTGCCACATCCAGCCTCCTTTCTGAGCAGATGAAAACTGATGGAGCCAAAGGATGATGAAAAGTTGTAAGGGCAATGCAGTTAACACTTGCCCCCTTAGAAAGAGAAAATGTGATTTTATCAGCACGAGCATGTTACTTGGGCAGCAGCCGCAGCACCGCAGGGCCAACGCTGTTCTGAGCCAAGGCTCTAGTTGCAAGAGGATCCTGGGAGAGACAACGCTGGAGCTTCTGCTGGAAGAACTAGCTGAATGAAAATGGGCAGCCTACTTTGGTAAGGGAGCAGGTGGTTTTATTGAAATGTATGAACAGCAACATTTGTGAAAGGAGGAGGTTGAGTTACTCATGGCTGAAATAAGTTTATTCAGCCTTTGATGGGAAAACTTTTGTCCAACACATTATCCACTAGTATTATACAAGCAGTGCTGGAAAGAATGTGTTTAGTCATACTGTCTTGAAACTTGATGTCAGCTAATGCAGAATGCCAGATTTGATCCAGCATTTGAGAATGAATGAGACCATGTGAATTGTCAGAAACCTTTCTGTGTGTACTGGATCTGAGGGTCTATAATAAACATTGCTCATCCAACTTTTAATTTTTTTTTTTCATTTAAGAAATGTGGGTAAAGTATTATTACAGTAGGGTTGTGGGGAAATAGGGTTTTGTGATGTAGCCATTACCTGTGACCAACAATTTAGAGATATCTCAAAAGTTAGCTGTTGTGTAAGGTAAGTGAAAAATTTGCCCAGAATAGTCTTCAGATCATAACTTGAAACTTATAGCTTTTCTTTTTAAAGTTTTTACAATTCTGACTGAACATCTCCGTAAATGCAAACTTTTACAATAAAGCTGTGACACACACAGCACAGCATTCATTATTGTGCCATAATAAATAAATCCACTATTGCAGGATTGTGCATGACAAACATGGATTTATACACATGGGTGTGATCAATAAAAATTACAAGTTTCATAAACACACCAGAACAGTAGTGGGGTTTACACTATTTATGGTTAAAGTTGTCACTGCAGAAACAATACTTCTATTGTTGAAATGATTGCCACATTCAAAATACATAACGCTAACTACATCAGCAAATACAGAAGCATTGTATGGCATCTCCAAGGAGAATTGGCATAGCACTGATCTGGACATTTGTACATCCATTCATACATGCCTGATAATTCCGGTCTCCTTCATTACCACTTCCTTTTACAGCAAAGTCCTGTAGGGTTTGCAGGTCAGTCTTGAAAAAACAATTCTGCCATGTTGCCGGATGCAATAGTAATGGAAACCTGAACACATTTCATACACATTTGTAAATATTGAGGAGGAGTTAAGTTCCTGACTCACACATCATATATTCAGCTCTTTGTAATACTGCAATTTTAAAATCCATCTACCCAGTCTGATGAATCATTCAACATTCTTTCTTTGTAGCAGACAAAATTTAGTAGGGGGCTCTCTCAATGATTCTGTGACTCACTAACATTTTTTTCCCCTTTTGCCGCCAATGCATTCATTTAAAAGTGAAAGATCTAACACAGTTTTGTAGGTTAGCATGTGAATGCTGGCTGGAAGGACTTGGTCACAATGATATTGCTGACGTCTACTGCCACGAGGTATAAACACCAAACAGCTCATTGGTTTCATCTCTAACGGAGATGGTGTGTTTGCAACAGTAAGGTAATGGCTACACATCTCCTCACTGTGCATCACCGCTGGCTCAGCTCATGAGCCAATTTAAGTCAGCACTGCGTTCTTGATGCCAGCCATGCTACAGAGGTTTATGGCAGCTGAGTCCCACAGAGTGCTGCTCCAGGTGGCGTTGAGGCAGAAGGCAGAATGCGCTGGGACTCTCATGGCTAAACAACACGTTCACTGGCGTGTGGGTCATTTGGGATTTTACAGTAATTGTTGTGAAGATGAGGGACAAAAAGCTCCTTGAGCCACAGCTGGGTGATTTGGGCAGTAAGCGGTGAAGTGGGAGAGTCACGCTCAGATCTCAGGTCTGACAGCTTCAAAATAAACATCTCTTCTATAACACAGCAGAGTCCTGAACCAGATCCTTTATACCCTGAAGAAATCCTAGCTAACCAGCCAGTGAGACCCACCACAGGCTAAGAAACAGGTATTTTGACATGTCTGGGTTTGTGAAAATTTTTAGTGTAGAGTGAAAGCAAAAACCAAACCCCAGAACTTGCCCCCAAGTGGAGCCAGCAACCAGCTCCAGACCCCCATGCCTTCCCCTGCCTTGGTGCAAATCAACAAGTGTTGAAGCCAGTGGTGTTACCCTATACTACAACCAGTGAAAAGAGAAAATTCAGTAAAATCAGGTGTTTACTAGTCATGATTAAGTAATACAGAAGAGAATAAAGTGTCTTGCCCAATTTCATTTTTGGACCATGGCAATGCAGACACTGTCACAAAAAACTATAAGCAACCGCAGTGACTTCAATCTAGTCCTTCATTCTCTTGAGACATCTGCCACCTTTCACAGGCTTTTCTGTGAAACATTTTTAAGTCACAGGCTTGTAGCAAAATACAAGTTTTGATTATGAACTGGATCCTCTCATGAATGTTTTGACAGCCTAGTTGCATAAAATGTCTTGTCATTAAAATGAGGGTGAGAAAAATCGCTCATCAATTTGTTTTTCACCAAGAACATTCCTTAAGGCGTAGAAAACAAAGGTCAGCCAAAATTTTGAGCTCTACTTTTAAAATATTCACTGAGAAAGGAAAACATATGCAAAATACATGGAAATGTACTACAATAATAACAGTGTGCTAAAGATACAAAATTTCAGAAATTGTTTGCAGCATTTGTGGGAGTTTTAACTGCAGGCAAAACAACTGTTGCAATGTTTACTTGAATTTTGTCTTGTGCAGTTTCAGCAATACAGAACACCCATTTACTACTGCACCTCAGATCAGAGATTTCGTACGAACCCTCCTTCAGAAAGTCAGACCATACTTTCTGTTGGTTCTTTATTGCAAAATTATGAGGCAGCTCTGGCAGGTGGATGGGATGAAAACTCTCAATTAATATATTTGGAGGAATTTGTTTATACTGGACACTGAAAGATCTATGGCACAGCTTAGTTTGGTTTGGTCTCTGAAACTCGCATCCAGCTTCAGTAACACACAAAACTAGTTTTGTATTCAGACCACTGTAGATCAGGGAAGAATATCCTGAATTTAGCCTAAAAAGAGTAAAGTAGAGGCTCAAGCCCATAGTTTTAAAATTTCACAGTTGCTGTGTTAACATAAAAAGAGAAGTTACCCCTCTGCTTCAGTTAAATGCCAAATTGTTTAAGGAAGACAAACAGATCCTAATGCTTGACACCTTTTTTGATATGAATGCTATGATTGCCAGCTGTAAGGCAGTAAAACCAACAGATTCTTGTAATCTAAGAAGTGCAAAAAGGATGCACCATCTATCACTGTTCTAATTTATTTCTACTATTTCTCTTATTTCCCCACACCTCTTCTTCCTTCTGACCTTCATGCAGATTCTGCAAGTAAACAAATTATTCTTTATTCTCAGCCTTTGGTTTGCTGACCTTTCCCTGACGTTGTTGTATGAAGCTGTTGTACTGGATTACAACATTGTTGTGTTCAGGAACATTGGGGCACTGGAGAACTGAAAATAAATTGAAAGCAGCCAGAATGCTGTTATGGGTATTTGGTGTTTAGAGACCATAGTAAAAACCACACATCATAATATGAGATAAAAACAAGAAAAGGGTAGTGTGACAAGGATATGAGGCTACTGAATGGCTGAGGGCAGAAAGAAAATATTTTTAAAAACCTTTTCAGAGCCAAATTCCACCATTGGAAAACAATGAAAACTTTTCAGATGTTTTGAATAAACAGAATCATGTAATTGAACATGTGATAAAATTCCTCTGCTCTGCCCGAAGAAAGCAGCCCATCCCTCAAATGAAATGCACTCACCTGTGAATGATGTGGTACCTCTGCAAATAATCCAGGGAAAGCGCCAGCTCACAAATGTACAGCTTCACTGTTCCTTCGTTGAAATGGACGTTCTGTTGCAAATGGTAACGTAGATCGCCTCCGAGCAAGAGATCAACCACCATGAACATGTCTTCTTCATCTTGAAAGGAATACCTGGAAGAAGGAGTTACAGCTGAGATCTCAGGGTGGGTGATGCAGCCACAGCCGTGCTCGGGGGCAGCTCTCCGTAAGTAGATCTGTTCATGGCAAGTCCGTGATTTGCTCAAAAGACATACACTGATTTCTCACCACTGTGGTCCGATCTTGCAGTTAGACTTTGTGGTGGGATTCTCTGTGTAGTCAAGGCAAGCAGAGCTTGAACAGCTGCTGTACTAGTATCTCAATTGTTTTAACCATAGATTAACACCTGACCGTTGATAAAACAGTATTTAAAATACTTTTCAGGTTTATACAATTTTAAATAACCATATACTCATTCAGTTGACAAAATGACTTACTAAATAGCAGCAATAATATGGAAGGCCTTGAAACACACTTGGTATTCACACACATACAACTGTAGCTCAATGCCTATGGAAAGTATCCTGGCAGAATTGAGAGCTGCTGTCCCGGGAGTATTTTCCAGATTCAGTAAATATACAAAATGTTCTCTTAGCTGAGTATTTTCTACAGCTTGCAGTGTAGCTCCAAATTCAATAAGAAATAAAACTGTAATTTTACTGCTTAACAATATATATTTTTCAGTCTGTAACTTATATCTTATAAAATGACAGAGTCTTCATGGTTACTGACTGAATTCTTCTGGACCCTTTCCCAGAACTGCCTGTTGAGTACTCTGAGGACTAAATTCTGATCTGATTTAAATCCTGCAAATCCAAAGGTGTAGCCAGCCAATGTACAGTGTACATATAGTGCTTGGGCAAGCAGGAATTTCCATGTGTTTCTACTTACCTTGGGTATGCTGCCATTGCTCTGTTTATTTCTGATCTGAATAAACTGACAGAAACTCTCTGGTTTTCATTTCTGAATGCAACTGTCTAAGAAACAGTATTTTAGATTTCCCAAATGGGGAATGGTGAATACCTTATGTCTAATATGAAGTCACTTTTCTCTTAGAAATTGTTTTAGAGGTATTTTGCATGTGAAGTTATATTAAGGCAGCTTACACCAGTTGTGGATACGAACTGCTGAGAGGTGATCCTCAACAATAGTACCTCTTCCATCACCTTTTCTCCCATGAGGTGTGTAATATATGTTGGCTTCGGATGTGATTCAGTTTCCCTGAACTGTAAAATATATGCTAATGAAATGAAAAAGAGTGGACTTCCAGAAAATCTGTGCCCACCCTACCCCCAAAGGCAGAAAAATCTATATTAGATTATTTTAATTGACAGTTACGTACAGTTTCACTTCCATTCCCAGGCTTGCATGTTCTGAAATGAGGCACTGCTTAGGGGTTGTCACAGATGGTTCATTTTGAATTTAAATTCTTTCTATTCTTTCTGAACACAGTTCTGAGAAGTGAGTGTCTCTAGGTACTGTGCTCTTCTGTTGCATTTCTGTATGCCTGCCAAATGCCAGGAGGGGAAAGCCATTTTATTTGCATTAAGCTTACTTCTCGATAAGTCAAATCTCTGAAGCAAAATAGTAAAGTAGGTGGCACATGGTGTCTGCTCACCTCAAGAGACTCAGAATTTCATAACACACACCTTAAAAAAGAGAAGGCTTCAATTATATTCAAATTACTCTGAATGTTGCGTATTACTGAGCCTGGAGCAATTGCAAAAGGAAAGCTTAAACACATAGTTATATTTAAGATTTTTTTTTCTTTTTTGACACTACTGTTATTTTAAATGAAGTAGTTGTAGCATTGAGCAGATGTGATGAGACATGTTATTTTTTCCTTCAGTTACTGCTTGTGTAAAGTGTAGATTTTGTCTGGTTTCTTTTTATATAAAAAAAAGAAATCCAAAATGAAAAGTCACAGATTGAAATCTCTACTTGAAAGTACAAGTGAAATATTGTGTCTAGTCTAGGACTAAAGAGCTCTCCTGGTGTCTAGAATCATATGATCACATGTCAGTAGAAATGGTTCTGATCCACCTCTGGTCTTGGGAAGGAAAATGTCCCAAGTCATTTCTGCAGTGATTCAGCCACCATGAGGCAGAGAGTGAAGGCAGGATAGAGAATGACTGCTGTGAACTTGCTTTTAGGTTTAACGACTATTCCCATTTCTGAGAAACTAAAGAGTGTGTTTCAAAGTGTACCCATGAGTGTTTAGTCCAGGTAAAAGAGCCATCAGAACAATCCAGAAATAAGTGTGAAATCTTGTCCACATCCAGTTGATAACACTTGATGGAACTGGGTTTTCATTCCAAGCACATGTGTTTCTGCTGATGCACTCTGGTTTTCTGTACTTGTGAGTAGGGAGTGGTGGTCCTTTGTTGTCTCCCAAGCAAGCTTTTAGTGCATCTGCAAATCGTGAATGATTTAAAAGAGAGATCAAAAAGTTGAACCAGAAAGAGCTGGTACTCCATCCAGTTTCATTATGTCAGGAAATAATACTCAGGTAGACTCATGTCTACAGTCAGGTGCAGAGGGCTGCATGTTATTTCTTCTCACACTCTATGACAATGTAAGACCAATGACACTAGGTCAGACTAGACACATATCTAGCTTGGAAGTCACCAGAGAGCCCACATTCAGAGAGGAGCAAAGAACAGTATGGAGGTATACAAAGCTCTCCTCCAGGACTCAACCAGCCTCCACCCATTGACTGCTCCAGGACTTTCTGGGACTTTGGCATCTCTGGGAATCCAGGCTGGGATCACAAGAGATCGGTTTTGTCCTGGGACCTGCCAGATCTGTTAGTGAATGATTGCTCTCCTGCTACTACACCTTGCCTCACAGGTAAACATAGGTAAGTGCAATCCCTACAAACAGAGCTACAAGGCTTTCAGAGATGACTCTACTCCTAGAACAAAATGTTTTGAACCCAAACAGACCAAAAAAACCCCAAATCTGCCAAGATTCAGAAGTATGGCTAATGTTTGCACTCATCAGCCTTCCTGAATCTGTCACAACCTGTGAATGGGGCACGGGCCAGTTGTATTTAGATATTGAAGCTAAAATGAAGCACACTGAGAAACAGCTCTTGTGGAGCTCTGTATATCCTCTTGGATGTTCTGTTCTTTCACCTCAAGCAGATTTTTCTTTCATTTGTACTGATACGTACCTGCGGTAACTCCGCTGTTCCCGTCAGAAGAGTTGTTGCATACTGGTCTAGTTAAGATACAAGACGTATAGGCCAAGTTTGAAAGAAACGATGCTGTGGATGGATATGTTCAGTCTATCAGCAGACTTTTTCACCCACTCTAAATTATATGGCACCTGACAAATCATTATGCTAATAATATGCATATAGCCATGGATAATGGTGTTTTCCCTGCACAGTCGAACCAGTTGGGTCAAACCTGCGTGGATGGCATTTCTCTGGCTATATCTGGATCAGACCACAGTGCAATTAAATGTGCTGCAAAGACGACTATTCCAAGAGATTTTTCTGGGGGGTAAATGAGTTCAGCCCAGTGAAATTATGTGTCTACAACCTAGAGGAGAGCTTGATTGTGGCAAATAGCAGAAGGTCTCTGGAGCTGATGGACACTCCACTGACTAGTTCCTGCAACTACGAATTTTTAAGCTACTGAATGCAGAGCAAGAGTTGCTCCAGGTCCTGCTGTGCAGCTGGGTACTGAACGCTGTTGCTGCTGCTCTGTGTTAAGGACTCACAGGACTTGGTATACCAGGTCCTGACCGGTTTCATTTGTCATGGTCACAAGCAGTTGTGTCCTCTGTCTCTCCCTTATGCAAATCCAGTATTCCTTCTTTACAGAAGATACAAAGTATTCCCTTTCAGATTCTTGCTTTTTCAATATTTCAAGAAATAAGCGGTTTTGATTTATTTGTCTAAGAATTGGAATTGACAGCAAGCGAAATATTGGCCACTGGAAAAATGAATCTTTGAAAATATTGCTGCAGGTTGGGGAGGGGCTGGTGGCAAATGAGCCCAGTGGAGATTAGTTTTTTGAGTAAGCGCTGTAATTTTACTTTTGTAAGCTTCTTATCTGCTCAAAGGCAAATGACATACAAAAGGACTGATTGGTTTTTGAAGTAAAATCAGAGGTTGTTTGGGATTTTTATGTTAACCAGGTAACTGAGAAATACCTACAGAATGAATTATAGCATTGTGACCGATATTGAATACTAATAATACATTCTAAGTTACGTTAAAGACAAAATTTTAATCCTTCTTGAAATGAAAGACTAAATGACTTGGAGTAAATTTTTTTTGTTTCTTTCTTTGTTTTGTTTCTTTTTAAAGTAGTGCCATGAACCAGTCCTAGGAAAACTGTTCTAATTACAGAGCTAGTCTTTGCTTTCTTTGGCTTGAAGAAAAGTTTTAATGCATTAGAATCAGCTTTCTCCAAATTAAGATAAAATAATAATGCCCCTAGCAACAGCAAATTGGATTTTTGATTATCTTCAGACTGGAAGATAAACTACCATTGAACAAAATCCTCCATGAAAACAAATTTAAACAAAGCACTTTCTAAATCAGTTATATGTTTCCATATTTATATCTGTATATTTGTTTTAATAATATCTATTTTTTGTATTTATATCATATTTGTATTTTTTATTTATATCTCTGTCTCTTTACAAAAGCAGTTACAGATAAGTTATTAAGATCATTTTTCCCATCACTCCCTCATCTTAGTTAGCTAGGGTAATTTTTTGTTGAAATCCTGACAGATGAGGCACCCACTATCCAGAGTTCTTGTTTCATATGTATTACCTGGGGAAAAGGAAATCATGACGGATATTTTATATATGACTTTAATTTAAGAGTAAAAATACATTACAAAAATTTCATCATTAAGCCCAAACCAAACTTCATAAATCTGAGGTAATCAGCTAGAGGAATATATACACAGTTCAGCCATTCAGATAACACCTCTTCTCTGTAGTGAATATGATAAATCATTAAGTCTTGATAACTCCTAATTAGAAATTTTAAAAAGGATCTTTTTCCAGTTTTCCCCGATAGAATTAAAAGGAGGAAGTAATTTTTTCAGTGACATGAAGCTCTTAGT